ATTACCTGAGCTCGGGAGTTTGAAACCAGCCTGACCAACGTGGAGAAACTCTGTCTCTACTAAAAATACAAAAATAGTTGGGCGTGGTGGCGCAGACCTGTAATCCCAGCTATACTCGGGAGGCTGGGGCAGGAGAATCGCTTGAACCTGGAAGTGGAGGTTGCGGTGAGCTGAGATCGCGCCATTACCTTCCAGCCTGGGCAACAAGAGTGAAACTCCATCTCAAAAAATAAATAAATAAATAAAAACCAAAACAAAAAAATAAAAACTAAGGAGTCTCTCACTTTCTCGCCTGTTTCATTTCCCTTCCCCAGGGTTCATTCCATGATCTGCTCCGGAGAGAACCAATGCTGCGCATGCAGGAGGGAGAGGGGCATTCTCAACTCTGCCTGGACAGGCTGCAGCTGGAGGCTATTCATAAGGTAATCTCTCATCCTTGCCACCCTCCACTCATTTCCCCCCAGGTCTCTGGGCCTGGGGCTGATGAAATGGGAGATGAAAAGGTTACACAGATGATAGCCTCCTCCTCCTCCAGAGCATGACAGAAGTACTTCATTCACTGCCTTCTCATTCTTACCACTCTCGATTGTGGCTCATTTTTTTTTGCTCATATAGCTAGGAGTCACCCTCAAGCACCACTCATGAGCATCTCTCTTTGTTTTCTGTTCTCTTCACAGGTACGTTTCAGCCCAAACCTGGACTCCTATGGATGGCTGGTATCTGGGGGGCAGTCAGGGCTGGTTCGAATCCATTTTGTCCGTGGACTTGCCTCCCCACTGGGCCACCGTATGCAGCTTGAAAGTCGAGCCCACTTCAATGCTATGTTCCAACCATCCTCCCCCACTAGACGGCCTAGCTTCTCTCCAACCAGCCATCACCTTCTGCCCACTCCCTAGCTTTGGTCCACGACAGACCCTTGGAGTGAAGTCGGTCAAGAACAAATGGCCCCTATGCACAGAGCCATAGGAACTGGGGGCCTTCCCTGGACACTGATCATGCCAGGCCTGGACTTTTAGGCCTGCCTCCCAGGACTCCTTAGATCCCACTCTTTCCACAGACTTCTGTGATCACAGCCCCCTGCGGGCAGGGGGGCTCTCCCTCCACAAACTCTCAAGGCTCCTCAGCTTAAGACTATGGCTCATGAGAAACACTCAGGCCTGACCTAGGCTTGGGAGTCAAACTGCTCATATTGAGCGTATTGTTAAGTGGGTGAAGCTTAAGTAAAGGTACTGGGTGTTTTTGCGACCACTTGTGAATGGGTGTATGGAGAATTGAAAAAGGTATCTGCATGAAGGCTCCTGTCTGACTATTTTAGGATACTATATTACTGCCTTCTGAAACTTCCTCTTTAGGGTAACCATTATATATGCCCACAAGGGTGATAGTAATTTGTGAGACTGAAGTTGCTTTGAGTACTACTTTGACCAAGGAACATCACGAACACCCTACCGATAGAACAGTAGCTCAGATCTTAACTTGCTCCTGCTTACGAAGTATTCCCAATCACTGGTCATCTGACCCTACTTGAACACTCCTGAAGAGTCATGTTTTTTAAAATCTTCCTTTATATCAAGTCAGAGTATACCTCTATAAATTTTACTCATGGGTGTTAGGAAATTTAGTCATCTTCCCTGTGATTTCCCTGTTAAATATTTAACCATAGCAATCATGTGTTTCCCAAGTCTTCTCTAGATTAAATATTTTCGGTTACTTCAACCATTCTTTTACACGTCATGATTTTTGATCCTTCATGATACTGTCACATTGTTGACTTATTATAATGTTTACTTCAGTTCTACATATAGGAGGTGTTTAGAACCCAAGTACAGTAATGTATTGTTATATCTCATCTTGTTAGAGTCCTCTCATGGGATACTGCCTCCTAAGCAAAGACAGATGCTAGTGGTGAGAAACAGGCAAACCATGGTCTTGAAATGCCTAGGAGTATACGCTGGGGTTTGGAGGGAAATAGATGACCTCAGGAAATAGAAAAAAACAGGCAGCTGTTTTTTTTGGAGGGAGTAGAGATCAGTGCCTACCTGGTACAAAACCCTCTGGCATTCTAGACTGGCCAAATACGTAGTGTAGGGATATATCAGAAAATGTCCTTTAAGAGGAGATCAAGAAGTTTAGTCCTGGCCAGGTGCAGTAGCTCATGCCCATAATCCCAACACTTTGGGAGGCTGAGGCAGGTGGATCACTTGAAGTCAAGAGTTCAAGGCCATCCTGGCCAACATGGTGAAACCCCATCTCTACCAAAAATATAAAAAATTAGCTGGGTGTGGTGGTGTGCACCTGTAATCCCAGCTACTTGGGAAGCTAAGGCAGGAGAATCACTTGAACCTGGGAGTCAGAGGTTGCAGTGAGCTGAGATCATGCCACTGCACTCCAGCCTGGGTGACAGGGTGAGACTCCATCTCAAAAAAAAAAAGTTCCATCTCCATCCTTTACAGATGAGAAAACAGACCTGGAGGAAACCCAAGTCCATCAACAGCAGAGAGAGAACCTATGTCAGTGCAAAGAAGCCAAGTGTTGCACTACCCTATTGGGATCCAGCTCACATTGAGCCAGTTTTTTGAGCTGTTAGGCGAGTGCCTTCTGTCAAAGAAAAGCTTTACTCAATTCTACAGGGCAGTCCCTTTCCTATTTTCAGTGGTAGAAAAGATGGGACCTGGGGATCCACACTTGAGAGACTGTAGGTTGGTGCTGGCAGCCCTGCTTCTGCAGCTGAGTCTCAGCCCTACTCTTGACCTTGTTCCTTTTCTCTACCAAGAGCTTTTTCTCTTTCCAGCTCTCCCTCCCAGTATATCCACTTCATACTGTCCACGGTTCATATACTTTCCTACCTTTATTCCTCTTCTCATACTCCTTCCTTTGCCAGGAGTGTCTTTTTCCACCATCTTTATCCGAGTTCAATTCATCCTTCAAGGTCCCTGCTCAAATTCCACCTTCACCAAAGAGCTTCCCAGTTTTCTCCAGTTAAAAAAAAAAAAAAGTCTCCTTTGTGTTCCCACGGGGGAAGGAAGGAAAAAGGATAAACAAGCATTAAGCACTTGATCCGTTTCAGGCAGTTTGCATATGTCACTTGTATCAGGTAGGTATTGCCATTTTAATGATAAAAGAGGTGGAGAGGGTAAGCAGTCTGTAAAAGGTCAAGGTCATATAACTAGTAAGTGGTGGTGCTGGGGATATGAACTCAGTCTAACTTAAGAATATAACTTTACAGCCTACCACATTTGGTCTCCTATTACATTTACTTGTGTTAACTCACTTCTCTAGCATGCTGTTTCGCAAATAGAAGCGTTTTAGTTAAATGTTTGTGACACTGAATTCCTTGATTCCTTTACTTTTCCTCCAGGATTTGTGGCAGGAGTCTCCCTGCCTTAATAAAGGAATTGGGTGAATTGGGGATGGAGCTGGGCAAGTGGACAGCCTGAAAAGAGTCTGCCTCCTGATGTTTGGGCTACCAGGAGATAAGTAAAGCCTGCCAGCCTAACAAATCCATTGCCAGGGATATTGTAGACATTCCCAACGCTATAGAAAAGATAATTGCTGTATAGTCACAGACTCTTAGAATGTTAGAGCTGGAACGGATAAGCTTACTGGTTTTCAAACATGCAGTTGTGGACCCCATTGTTAAAAATGGGTCTTCTGAGAAGTATATACTTTTTAAAAAAGAAGCAGCTGTAGTAATACCGCCCCTCTCATCCCCCTACACACAAACATCTCCTGAAGAACTCCTAGAACTGAGCCGAGTTTGGAAAGTCAATAGTGTAACCCCCTTCATTTTACAGATGCGGAGCCTTAAGACCAAGTCTAGTCATGACTAAGGCTGCACAGCCCGTTAGTTAGGGAGCCAATACCTAATGTCTTCTGAGGTTCTAATTCCAGTGCTTTCTGTGGAAGAGTCACATGTATGCAATATTTCTTAAGTGGCTGTTTGCAGCAAAGCACTGAAATAGTTGCATGAGGACAAATATGAACGACTCCAGTTTCACCCACGCATGAGCTCACAGCTGAGGATAATGAAGAACCTAGAGACAAAAAATAGCTTATAGCTCCCGAACTACGATTGCTGAGAAAAGGATGTCAGGACCTTGTGAAGTTCTTGCGGGGGAGGGTGGGCTGAACAATGAGACTAACGGACTGAGAGAGGCCCGGGCCTCGAGGGGAGAGAAGGGGCTGGAGGAGGCAGAGGGTTGAACCCAGGTGGGAAGTAAGGCCGGCAGGGTCCACACAAGGGTCCGGCGCAGTCCAGCTGGAAAAGGGGTCGCTCACGGAGTGGGTGACCGAGTTAAGTCGCTCTCCAGGGGTATCTGGCTCGGTCCACTCCCATTCCTGTCCTGGGTGCAAATGTCCGAAGGACGCTGGGAGGAAGGGGTGGGACTTTGGGCGGAAGGGGCGGGACTTGGGCGCGGAAGTTCCTAGGCCAGCCTGTTACGTGGGAGGGAGGCTCCGCGCCCAGCTCGCACTCAGGTGAGTGGCGGATGATCCGCAGTCACTGGCTTAAAGTGTTGTAAGTCATGAGCGCCCACAAGGCATGTGGTCATTGTATATTCGGACAGTGATGTACCCTGTTTTGGGTCTGGAGCTGGACTCAGGAAGGTTACACTGGTTGCAACCAAGTCTGAATCTGGAGAGGGACCAAGCTGCCTTTTCAGGGACCTAATCTCTGGGTGGAAGCCAGAGCAAAGCTGCCCTCTTGAGTGTCTCGGTCGGGATCCCAGGCCTCCATTGGCCCTGCTTCAGGACTGAGGGTGGGGTGGCTGGTGGCTGCTACTGGGAGTCCATAGCTTCCCACAGCCTTTCTCTCTTCCCCAGTTGCCTAAGGCGACTCCTGCAACAGGAAGCTGTCTGGGAAGCATCCCGTATGTGGCCTCTGCCCCTTTAAGTAACATTGGAAGTGGGAAGGGCAAGGGAGTGCGCACAGGGAATGTCAGGCGGCTCCTTAGTTGTGAAAAGGGACAGCGGGGGTGACCCCTCTTCTCTTGGCTTGACAGGAAGCATGGCACTCTGGCGGGCATACCAGCGGGCTCTGGCTGCTCACCCGTGGAAAGTACAGGTCCTGACAGCTGGTGAGTGTCCCTCTAGGACTTGAGTGGGACCAGGGCAGACTGATTTGGAAGCCAGAGGCTTGTCTCACTGCACCACTCTCACTTTCTGTTTCTATTCAGCCCTCTCGAAGGGTTGGCTGGCTTTCATCACACACTGTCCCCAGTCTGTTTTGGAGGGTGGCCCCCAAGGCTGTTTTTAAGGGGTATGCATAGTTGGCCAAGCTGTGCAGCAGGGTTTTAGGATTTCAAAGTCCTCAAAAAGCTGGTCAGTCCTGAAATAAGATAAAGGCATTGCCCCAGAAGGCCCCAACTTGGAAAACTAACATTTTACTGTATGCAAAGCACTTTTATATACATTATAGCATAGGGCCCCCACAAAGTTGTGTAAGCTAGGAGGGTTGAGTCCACGTTAGATCACACCTAATAAGTGCTAAATCAAGACTCCTACCCCAGTTTTTCATGGTATTTTTTATTGTGAAACATACAAAAGAATGACTGAGACATGTATGTACAGTTTAAATAGCATTAAAACTGAACAGTTCTGTATCAGCAACCAGCTTTGAGATCTCTTGAGCACCTCTCCCTAATTCACACACACAAATTTCCTGAGTTTTGTTTATATCATTCATTTGCTTTTCTTATTATTTACTGTCTAAATATGTATCTCCAAACGGTATCCGATCACTCCATCCTGATCCATTTGGAGTGATCAGATACCAATCACTCCAAATGCAGTGACTGAATACCAACCTCACAGAGGTAACGCAGTGACTTACCTACATTTGTTACCATCTTCATTTTGCAAGTTAGCTAATGTAAGAGGATGGTGCGAAAATAAGTAAGTCTTATAGGGGGAATGATTAGAAGGCCTTAGACCATTGGGGTACAAAGGGTAATCACATTAAGATGAGGTTTTGCCCATGTTTAGAGGAGGGGAACAGGATTCTATTGTTGACTGGGCTTCTGAGAAGAGGACCATTGGAAGGGATGGGAGGCTACCGAAAGCCAGAGTAGAACAGGGGTCCTGTGACCAGAATAGCCCTACATCAGCACTAGAAACTTAACTGCATGAATGGCCAGGAGATGGATTATTTGGCCCTTCCCTGAGTCCCTCTCCAGTCTCCGGTGCCCAACCACCTCTCGTCCTGTCCTCAGTGTCCGTCAGCCTGTATGACTCACCTGGCTGCGTGTGTGGTGACTCATGCTGGGCAGCGTGGCTGTGATGGGAACTGACACGCTGGGCCCTTTGCCCAGGCTCAGATTCCCCCAGGGCCCATAACTGCCAGATGGAAGCTTCCCCCTTGTGGTCATCAAGAATAGGGAGGGAAGGATAGTCCTTGCATTTCTCTACCCAAGACATCTGCAGCTGACAAAGGCAGGAGCTAGAGCTCCAAGGAAGCCCAGGTGCCAACATGTGGCTGAACTGGGGTTCTGGTCTCTTGGTGCTGGAGCCCTTCAGCTCCACAGCCTCAGTCTTCCTGAGGCTGTACTGACATCCCAGCTCTGCCCTGTAGCAAATTGTAGCCTCCCAGCACTTTTCCCAGACTTTTTCAGACCATTCAGACTTTTCCTTCCCTCCTGTTCAGGGTATTTGGATCAAACTACAAATAAAGGGGGAAAGTGGCTTTAGCTCACTACCCCAGCATAGTAGTTTCTGAGGTTCCATGGAATAGCTCATCACACTAGAAAACAGTACAGAGACTTCAGACTTAGAAGACCAGGATTTGAATCTTAGAGCCATCGCACCTAGTAGGTGCATTAATCAGGACAAGTCAGTAAGCTTCTTTGAGCCTCAGTTTCCTCTTTTAAAACTTGAGTTTAGGCTAGGCACACCTGTAATCCCAGCACTTTGGGAGGCCAAGGCAGGCAGATCACTGGAGACCAAGGCGAGCGGATCACCTGAGCTTGGGAATTCGAGACCAGCCTGACCAACATGGAGAAACCCTGTCTCTACTAAAAATACAAAATTAGCCAGGCATGGTGGCGCATGCCTGTAAGCCCAGCTACTCGGGAGACTGAGGCAGAAGAATCACTTGAACCCGGAGGCGGAGGTTGTGGTGAGCTAAGATCACGCCATTGCACTTCAGCCTGGGCAACAAGAGTGAAACTGTCTCAAAAACAACAACAATGACAACAACTTGAGTTTAGCTGTATGGTTATTATCACTGTGAAAAGGAATATAGGAATATATTGTTCCTGGAATATCACTGTGAAAAGGCTTTGGAAATTTTTTATTATTATTATTATTTTTTTTGGAGACAGAGTGTCACACTGTTGCACAGGCTGGAGAGCAGTGGTGCAATCTCAACTCACTACAACCTCCACCTCCTGGATTCAAGCAATTCTCACGCCTCAGCCTCCTGAGTAGCTGGGACTATAGGTGCGCCACCACACCAGGCTAGCTACTTTTTTGTATTTTTAGTAGAGACAGGGTTTCGCCATGTTTACCAGGCTAGTCTTGAACTCCTGACCTCAAGTGATCCTCCCGCCTCAGCCTCCCAAAGTGTTAGGATTACGGGCGCAAGCCACTGTGCCCCTAAATGCTCGATAAACTTAAAGACTCAACAGGTTGGTTCTTTCTGTGAGTGTTGGCAGCCCAGGCACAATAAACTTATTTTATTTTATTTTATTTTATTTTATTTTATTTTATTTTATTTTATTTTATTTTATTTTGAGACAGGCTCTTGCTCTGTTGCCCAGGCTGGAGTGCAGTGGCATGATCCCATCCTGAGCTATAACTGTGCCACTGCACTCCAGCCTGGGCAACATAGGATCCTCTGCCTTAGCCTCCCAAGTGGCTAGGACTGCAGGCTTACACCACCATGCCCAGCTCATTTATTTTCTTTTTTGGTAGAGATGGGGTTTTGCCCAAGTCATATTCTTTTTATAGTGGTGTTTGGGTTAGCTTTGTTCCACTTGCCATAATCTGAAGGTGGATAACCATCTTAGCCTTGGGTTACAAAAAGCAGAGCCTGAAGCTTACGTACAGATACCTTGTTAGGGAGAGGAAGTGATCCCATGGAGGGAAAGAGGGAGAGCTACTAGAAGGATGCATTATTGAATTAGCCACTTCTAAGGGCAGCTGTTGCTCAGTCCCTTGGAATGAGAAGCTCTTTGAAATACTCCTTAAAGTGGCTGAGCATGTTGGCTCACAGCTGTAATCCTAGCACTTTGGGAGGCCAAGGCAGGCAGATCACCTGAGGTTGGAAGTTTGAGACCAGCCTGGCCAACATGGTGAAACCCCATTTCCACTAAAAATAAAAAAATTAGTCAGGCATGGTGGTGTGTGCCTATAGTTCCAGCTACTCAGGAGCCTGAGGCAGGAGAATCGCTTGAGCCCAGGAAGTGGAGGTTGCAGTGAGCTGAGATCATGCATTCCAGCCCGGGAGACAAAGTAAGACTCTGTCTCAAAAAAAAATGAAAGAAAAGACATACTCCTTAGGACTGTCTGGATGAATAGTTCTTTCTTTCTTTTTTTTTTTGTAAGTAAGTCTCATGAAAATGAATAGTAATTTCTAGAGAAAAGAAGAAATCTTTATCTGCTGCTCCCATCCCACATTGGTCAAAGATTCACCCCACATCTGGTGCGGTGGCTCACACCTGTAATCCCAGCACTTTGGGAGGCCAAGGCGGGCCGATCACTTGAGGTCAGGAGTTCGAGAACAGCCTGGCCAACATGGTGAAATGCCATCTCTACTAAAAAATACAAAAATTAGCCGGATGTGGTGGCAGGCGCCTGTAATCCCAGCTACTCAGGAAGCTGAGACGGGAGAATTGCCTGAACCCAGGAGGCGGAGGTTGCAGCGAGCTGAGATTGTGCCACTGCACTCCAGCCTTGGCGAGACTCCATCTAAAAAAAAAAAAAAAAAAAAAAAGATTCACCTCATGGGATAACTCCCCTCCACTACTAGTTTGCACATGCATAGTCACTGAAGCCATCAACAGCAAAGGCCCAGGTATGGCATAGGCCTGAAGCAAGGATCTATCCCGTTGAACTGTAGTAATGGCTGGAGTAAGAGATAGGTAAGAACATTTGAAATTATTCAAAAGAAATGTCTAGCATACCAGTTTTGGCCAAGCCAGAGTCAGGAACAGGTTAGTCTGGGGGAAGATTGGCTGCATGTTTTGCAGAGTGTGAGTCAGCTTTATCCCTTCCTTCTTTGAGGGCCCTTCCACTCTCCAGTGGGCCTGGGGCCCAGCTTCATCCATCTTAGTCCACCTTGGTCCTGCTGTGGGAGCAGCTGAGTTCCGACAGATACTGGTTTCCCTGGAGTTTGAATTAAGTGAGGGCGTGAGAGCTAAATAGACCTTACAGACCATCCAGTCTAGCCCATGAGACTGCAGAGAAGGAAACTGAGGAAGGAGGGGTGAGTGTCATGCACTGAGGTCTCAGATGGTCAGTGGTACAGCTGGCGTTATAACCCAGGGCGCTGCCTGCCACACTGCCTTGCACTTGAGACTACTGGAGCCTCCAGATGCTGATGTGGGCTTAGATACCTGACAAGCTGCAAAACTACCCATTTTTTTTTCATTTTCTAGGAGTAGGATGGGTTTAGGCCAGAATGGGAGAGCATTCAGAATAATCCCAGAGGACCCACTCCCCACTCCTACTGCTGGGCTTCCACTCCCTCTGGACTCTGTGCCAGACTGAGCCCCTACCCCAGGCAACTAACTAATGTTTGGAGACCTCTGGGGAGGAACGGCAGCACTGCTGGCCCCATGCCAGTAGCTATACCTGCTGACCCAGGCCTCTTGGACCGAAGGACATGCTTCCTGCTCCTCCTTCCAAGAAGCCACTTCTTGCCCCTCTGCCTTCTTGCACATGAGATGCAAAAGCCACAAAAGTAAGTAGAGAAACAAAATAGAAGTAGAGAATTTACCCCGCCTACGCCTGGGAAGAAGATACGGAAGTTGGGGCTTTTCCACTAGTGGGCAGGAAGTGGTCCCAAATTGATCTGTGCTCAGAGGCAGGCTCCCTTCCCCCGGCCACTGGATCTGGTGGGGAGTGACGACATGAGAACTGGCACCTACCCAGGGGCATGATGTCACACCTGCGCCAGCATCTGCTCACTGGGCTCCACGCCCAGCCTGTCATTGGGTATCACTGCCCAGCAGCCCCTCACCCTGCCCCATCAGGCCTCTGGGCATTATGTGTCTTCAGGCCTCCAGTCCCAACTCCCTGGAAACAAGTCCAAGGGGCAGGGGATCAGAGCACTGGAGGGTCCAGACCAACCAGATATGTCCAGGGTTGAGGTGGTTTGGGTCTGTTTCGGCCCTGGGGTTGGGGAAGATGGGATGAGGAATCTGACTGTCTGGGTCCTTCCTGCTCAAAGGGTCACTTGTGCTGGAAAAGCAGGCTTGCTCTATGCTTGCACCAAAGCCTTATACCACCCTGGAGTTGCTGCAGGCCCATGGGGCCTGATCATCTGTGAGCAAAGGAGCCCCTGGGCGCTGCTCCTCTGAAATGAACAGAACTGTCAGGGACTGCAGATCTACCTACCACCTACTCTCCCCAACTGCTGCCCTGTCACTTGGTAGTCCCTCAGGCTAGATGAGCAAAGTTTGAGGGCCTTGAATCCATCTTTCTGCAAGGCTGCAGGCTTCCAGGACTACAGGGCTAGAAGTCAGGGACTTGGCTTTTCATTCCAGCTCTGCCTCTAGCTTGTTGTTTGACTGTTGGCAAGCCATGAAGAGTGAAAACACACACTTCTCTGTTTCTTTCCCAGGAATATTGCTTCCTGCCATCCCTATAAGGTGACACGGAGCAGAGTGATGGAGTTTTGGGGAGTAAAGACAGAGAGGAAGTGCATTAGTCTAGGGAATGTCTTTGATATGCAGGCCCTTTGGGTCCTCACTTGGGCAGGAACAGCTGGCGGGGGAGCAGCCACAGGGGCCTCCTGGTGCCGCTGACCTCTGAGCCCATGTCAGCCCACACTGAGAATACCCTGGCCTCCTTTTTCCTCCTTGAGAGAAGGCCTGGGTTCAGTCCCAGCTGTATTCCTTACCAAGTCATCTCATCTCTCAAAATTCATCATTAAATGGGGGTGTGGGCCGGGTACAGTGGCTCATCCGTGTAATCCCAGCACTTTGGGAGGCCGAGGCAGGTGAATGACCTGAGGTCAGGAGTTTGAGACCAGCTTGTCCAACATGGTGAAACCCCATACCTACTAAAAATACAAAAATCAATGGGGTGTGGTGGTGGATGCCTGTAGTCCCAGCTATTCAGGAGGCTGAGGGAGTAGAATCGCTTCAACCCGGAAGGCAGAGGTTGCAGTGAGCCAAGATCATGCCATTGCACTTCAGCCTGGGTGACAAGAGCGAAACTCTGTCTAAAATAATAATAATAATAATAAGTAAATAAATAAATGAGGCCGGGCACAGTGGCTCATGCCTGTAATCCCAGCACTTTGGGAGGCCAAGGCGGGTGGATCATGAGGTCAGGAGTTCAAGACCAGCCTGGCCAAGATGTAAAACCCTGTCTCTACTAAAAATACAAAAAATTAGCTAGGCATGGTGGCAGGCACCTGTAATCCCAGCTACTCAAGAGGCTGAGGCTTGAACCTGGGAGGCAGAGGTTGCAGTGAGCCAAGATCCTGCCGCTGCACTCCAGCCTGGGTGACAGAGTGAGAGGCCATCTCAAAAACAAACAAAACAAATGAATTAATTAATTAACGGAGGTGTGACCACCTACCTCCCAGATCTTTTGTGAGGATAAATGTATAAGCGCCCTTTGTAAACACCTTACCAAAGTAGACCATTACACTGTTTGTCCCTTCATTTGAGAAGGAACTGCCTTTTCTGCCTCACCATTCCCTCCCCTTCTCAGCAGCACTCTTCCTTTCTGCAGGGCTGTAGCAGCTCCCTCCTATCCCTGCCTGGAGGGATAGGGAACTGAGTGCTGATTGCTTGGGGTGGGAGTAAATCTGCAGTGCCCCAAGGTCCTCGCACCTTCTTGGACCAGTCTGTCTAGCTCCAGCTCATCTTCAGAGCTGTTCATTCTGAAATACTATAGTATTTTCTCTAAGTCTAGTCTGTCTAGATCTCTCTGAGTAGATGTAACCTCGTGAACTGCTTTGGCCCCTAAATCTCTCTAGCTTCCCTCAGCCTGCCAACAGTGATGAATACAGGTTAGAGGGGACTCAAGAGTTCTTCATGCCCTTTCTCAGAATGGTCTTGCTGTTTGGAGCAGTACATTTGACATTTTTCCTTTATTTTCTGAGCACTTACCAAAAGGGCTTGCTTAGGTGTATGGTGAGGGGTGTCTAGGATTCTGTCTTTGTCTCTGGGAGGTCATGTCTCGCAGTGTTGTGGGAAGAGCCCCACCACTTTGGGAGTTTCAGGGAGAGAGAAGGCAGGACTGGGGGTGCCCAGAGCTGCTCCATGGCCAGCAGCCCAGGTGAGCCTTGGGTGACCATCCCCAGCCCCAGCTGTCAGCCTTACCCAGCTTCCTTTGACTAAGCTGCTCAGGGCGCAGGGCTGGGCAGAAGGTATGGAGGAAGAGCGCAGCAGTGAATGTGCAGCCAGCATGGACGTCAGAGCCAGCTCCGGGCCAAGGAATGGGGCAGAAGGACGTGTTTGCCCAGTGCTAATTGAGGGCACGGGGACAGTGCGGCTACAGGGCTGGAGGGTGGCTCTCATTACTTGGTGAGATAGACGGACAAGCCAGAGATGATATGGTCACTCCCAAGTGGCCTGATAAGTGTGTATTTGCTAAAAACCATCACGCCACCATAATAGACTGGGGGCTCTGTAAACAGTGATGATTTCTGTCGTAGTTTCTGGATGTGGGTGTCTAAATAGGGCTGCTTGGAGCTGGGTGTCTGTGCAGTTAGGGAAAGGGAAGCAGGTGCAGAGTCCTGGGGGGAAATGGCCACTATATCCATTGCCAACTCAGTGTAAGGTTATGAATGGGGGAAATCTCGGTTTAGCCGATTGTGCCAAGAGGTGGCCAAGACTTTCTTGTGGGGACTGTTATCAGCTCAGCCAGTTCTCTTCCTGCTTGTGAACATTTGAACACTCTTGTTTTATTACTTTTTTTTTTCTTTTTGAGACAGGGTCTTGCTGTGTCGCCCAGGCTGCAGTGCAGTGATACGATCACTGCAGCCTCGACCTCCTGGGCTCAAGCAGTCCTCCCACCTCAACCTGCTTAGTAGCTGGGACTACAGGCACATGTCACTATGCCCAGCTAATTGTTAAAAAAAAAAATTATAGAGGTGGGGTCTTGCTATATTGCCCAGGCTGGCCCCAAACTCTTGGGCTCAAGCAATCATCCCGCCTCAGCCTCCCAAAGTGCTGGGATTACAGGTGTGAGCGACCATTCCAGGCCAGCTCTCTTGTTTTAGAAAAAGAGTGATTCTGGCCAGGCGCGGTGGCACATGCCTATAATCCCAGCACTTTGGGGTGCCAAAGTAGGCAGATCACCTGAGGTCAGGAGTTCCAGACCAGCCTGGCCAACATAGTGAAACCCCTCCTCTACTAAAAATACAAAAACCAGGCATGGTGGTGGGAGCTACTCGGGAGGCTGAGGCAGGGGAATCACTTGAATCTGGGAGGCACAGGTTACAGTGAGCTGAGATCACACCACCGCACTCCAGCCTGGATGACAGAGCAAGACTCAGTCTAAAAAAAAAAAAAAATGGAAAAGAAAAAAAAAGAGTCATTCTTGCTATTCTCCACAAATAGAGACCCCGAGACCAAGGTGAAAGCTGTTGGCAGGGTCTTGCCTTGGGCTTGGGGGAGAAAACAGTGTTTCCTACCGGTCTACACGATTTATTCATTGTGCTGTGTCTGGAAAGAACAGTGTCTAGGAATCCAGCCACCTGGTTCTTGCCTTAGCTCTGCACTTACTGGTTATGTGGGACCCTGGACTTTTGTTTCCATACCTCTAAAATAAGGAGTTTACATTAAATTATCTTAAAGCCCCTTTCGATTCTGACAGTCTCTGGTTCTTAGCCCTGTGGCCTTAAATTCTTCCTCTCTCTACACTTTCTGACTCTGACTTCCCTTTACAGTTCAATGCAAAGTTCCTGGGCCCAGGCTTGTTCATCCCAGCTTCTGACAGGATACACATGAGGTGTCACCATCCTTGGAGACATGAGGGCTTTGAGGCAGCAGGAAGGGACTGGTCATTTGTTTCCAGAATGAAGCCCTGGGCAAACTGCCAGAGTGTCAGTGGCTACCATCAGATGTCCCTCCCTCCTTGGAACAGCAGCCCATTCTAGGAGATGTCCTGACAACACCTGTGTACCCTGCACAGGGTCTCTGATGGGCGTGGGTGACATTATCTCACAGCAGCTGGTGGAGAGGCGGGGTCTGCAGGAACACCAGAGAAGCCGGACTCTGACCATGGTGTTGCTGGGCTGTGGCTTTGTGGTAAGTTCTACCCTCACCAGGGCTTCGGTAGACTCAACAGTGGTCTTGGTGCTTTACTATCATCTGGCTTCCCTTGGACTCTGACACCTAAGCCAACCTACTGCCCTCTATTTTCTTAGTGTCCACTTCCCCTAAGGCTTTCTGATAATTGGGACGGGGAGCTTAGTGATATAAATGCCAAGTGTCCCCTCACTGCAGCCTGCTGCTATCTGGGGTGTACTTCCAGGGCCCTGTGGTAGGAGGCTGGTACAAGGTTTTGGATCGGTTCATCCCTGGCACCACCAAGGTTGATGCACTGAAGAAGATGTTGTTGGATCAGGTGAGCCGGAGAACAGTGGGGAGGGTGAGCTGTCTTGGGGGTAGGTGGAGATTTAAGCACTCACAGGACTTGAATTTCTCTTCCCTAGGGTGGCTTTGCCCCGTGTTTTCTGGGGTGCTTTCTCCCACTGGTAGGGGCACTCAATGGACTTCCAGCCCAGGACAATTGGGCCAAACTACAGCGGGTGAGCTGGACAGGTGTAGAGAATGTCTTTGGCTGGCAGACTGACAGCCCAGGGGAAGGAGACAGGTTTCACCAGGATAAAAAGGGGCAAGTGGAGGTTGAGTCCTAGGCCATGGAGGGGAGGAGCTGAGGGCATGGTGCAGGAATGTGTTCTTTGAACAGACATCCATGTGTGACGTTCACACTGGGAAGTGGGAGCTGCCTGGAGGTGCAAGTGTTAATTTGTTCCTTCTCTGTCTCTCCAGGATTATCCTGATGCCCTTATCACCAACTACTATGTAAGAGCTAACACCCCAACTGCTTGTTCTCCTGCTTCCTTAAGTCTAGAACTATCCTGGGATTGGGGGGTCCTCCTGACATGGAAAACCTTTCCATTGGGATTCCTCTTTCACTCCCAGGATGGGCACCGTAATTAGGGAAGCCATCACCCAATTGTTCGCCGCCTTCTTGTGTGCAGAAGTTGGGGTAGGGCCGGGAAAGACAGTTAGTTTGGGGTCAGGTGGTGGGGCAACCATCCAACCTTTACCTTCTCTCTCTTGCAGCTATGGCCTGCTGTGCAGTTAGCCAACTTCTACCTGATCCCCCTTCATTACAGGTATGCCACACCCCTACCCCACCTATCAAGGAAGACCCACATTAGCAACAGTTGGAGAGAAAATGATTCTCATTTCAACCTTGAGCTACTTTAGACCCCCAACCGGAATGCTGAGCCCTGATCAGAGCTCCTCAGCTTCCCAAGCATGTTATTAAGAATGTCTTGCCATTCCAGAAACTGTCCCAGAATATCTTCCCATTAACCTTCTTCATCTCCCTAGGGAGGATCCTGCTTCCACTACCCTTGTCTCCATCCCACCTGAGCTCCGCACTTGATGGCATATCTGCAGGGACAGTGCCTGGGGTGCTGCTGCCTAGGTTAGACAGACAGGTAGACCAGAAAGCCAAGTAGGAGCTTGGCTGGATACGATAAAGATAGTTGCTGAACTGCACCCAAAAATATAGTGGAACTGAAGATGCATGGTTCAAATGCTTAGAGGTGAGGGGTCTCGGGAACAGGGGAAAATATGGAACTCTTCAGAGGGGACATGGCCAAGATATACATGAATACCATAGCTAAAAGGAATACAGACTGGCTGCGCACGGTCGCTTACATTTGTAATTCTAGCACTTCAGGAGACTGAGGCGAGAGGATTGCTTGAGTCCAGGAGTTCGGCACCAGCCTGGGCAATATAGTGAGACCCCATCTCTACAAAAAGCCAGGCATGGTGATATGCACCTTTAGTCTCAGCTACTTGGGAGGCTGAGGTGGAAGGATCATTTGAGCCTGAGAGATAGAGGTTGCTGTAGCCGAGATCGTGCCACTTTATTTCAGCCTGATGACAGAATGAAACCCTGTCTCCAAAAAAAAGGAATACAGACTTATGAACCAAATCCATTAGGGTCCTTGCAACACTCTTTGAAACTAGAGCAAGGTTAATTTAAAACAAAAAGGTGCTACTTTATATGGTAGGCAGTACATTTTGGAAGATGAAATCTCAGCTGGTACAAGACAGATCAGTGAGTTTAGAAGGGGCCCAGACAGAGTTGTGAATAACAGAGTTAAGCATGGCAAGAGAGCCGCTAAGTATTTAGCCTTTGAGGCTAGCACCTAGGAAACAGAGCTCTGGGATGGCACAAGAATTTGGGCCAGTTGTCCTTTGGTCCAAGCCACACAGACCCTTCATAGGGTGCTGAAGGGGCCAGGTGCAGTGGCTCATGCCTGTAATCCCAGCATTTTGGGAGGCTGAGATGGGTGGATTACTTGAGGTTAGGCGTTGGAGACCAGCCTGCCCAACATGTGAAACCCAGTCTCTACTAAAAATACAAAAATTAGCCAGCTGTGGTGGAACACATCTGTAGTCCCAGCTACTCAGGAGGCTGAGGCATGAGAATCACTTGAACCTGGGAGGCAGAGATTGCAGTAAACCAAGATCATGCTACTGCACTCCAGCCTGGGTGACAAAGGAGACTCTGTGTCAGAAAAAAAAAATGGCGCTGAAGGAAAGAGACCTAAACCTGCCAGTACTCTGAAAGGATCCATCCTTTTCCATCGCACGCTCTGGTCTCCAGCCCTTGCTCATGCTTAGCCTTCCTCTTCACGGTGCTATTCCTGTTCCTTAGGTTGGCTGTTGTCCAATGCGTTGCTGTTATCTGGAACTCCTACCTGTCCTGGAAGGCACATCAGCCCTAAGCCTACCTCACTCCATCATTTCCACTTTGCAGATTGGACCTGGAACAGTCAGACAACCTCCTCAAAGTGGGCACAGCAGTTTCCATGGGATTGGGTTGCCAGTCAGAACTTAAGAAGACTAGCACCCTGCCATTCCTCTCTTCACTCTAAAATGTACACTGACTGCTTTAGAGCCCTTTAAAATAGTCTTACTCCCTCCACATACTAAGCACTCTATGAATATCTGGTGAACTTCATGACCTTATCAACTTTACACCTATATCCCAGCAGATGCTACTCGTTCCCACTCTTCACAGACACATTTGTTACTCTAACCCTGCCCAGCGTTACTGTAGCTCCAGCTCTTTAGAAACCCCAGAACCCTTTATATGGTGCCTCAGTAAATATGTTATTAAATATGTAGTCTGGAATCTGCAGTGGTAATGAGTAAGTTTTTAAGCAGAAAACTGAGTCATTTCTAGAGCTGGAAAGAAGCCAAGAGACCACCAAGCCCAATGTTTTTTTTTTTTTTTTTTTGAGATGGAGTCTTGCCTGTCATGGAGTGCAGTGGCACGATCTCAGCTTGCTGCAGCCTCTGCCTCCTGGGTTCAAGCAATTCTCCTCCCTCAGCCTCCCAAGTAGCTGGGACTACAGCTGTGTGCCACTACACCCGGGTAATTTTTGTATTTTTAGTAGAGATGGGGTTTCACCATGTTGGCCAGGGTGGTCTTGATCTCTTTGACCTTGTCATCCGCCTGCCTCGGCCTCCCAAAGTGCTGAGATTACAGGCGTGAGCCACCACGCCTGGCCAAGCGCAGTCTTTTGCAAATGAGGACCCTGAGGTTGCTAGAAGGGAGGTGATCTGTCCATACCAGGAGTTAGCAGAAACTTGAACCCAAATTTCTTTACTGCCTACCCAGTGATTGTAACCTGAAGGTCATGGGCAGAGTAATACTGCTACTGTGATTCCCAGGAGAGAAACTGAACTTTGCTAAACTACCACTTTGGGCAAACTCAAAAGCAGATGGGGCCAGCCATTTGTGGTCTGAAAGCACTCAGAGGCCAGAGGCCCTATTACATGGTGCCTTGGTCAGACAGCCCTGGAATTTGGATCCTGGGGCTAGAAAAAGATAAAGAATGCTGGGAGACTGTGGTTGTGGCAGACTGCCCCTCGATGGGTCCGACTGTGTTGGCTGAGTGCCACCGGTGCACTCCTGATGCCTCCATTTGCATAACTGATAGCTGTGGGGAGGCAAGGGGTTCCAGTCACATAGCGTTCTCTGGCAACTCCTCAGGCCTTTCTAGAGGCAGAGGACAGGGTCAGCACCATGGACAGCCCCACGGTTCCACCTCCCTTTCGTGTGTCGGAGAACAGACGACCCGGACTAGTCTGGTCTGGGGACCGCCCTAGTCACTGCTGGCTGTTCTAAGCAGGGCGAGGGACTCTTGTGGGTCCCAGAGCAGTCCTTATGTCCCAGCCGGCTTCTTGCTGCCCTGCGTCCAGTGCTGCTTCCAACGCTAGCCACAGGGGCACAAAGGCTGGTGTCAGGAGGTGCGTCCCTCTGGGGGCTCGCCAGCCGCCAGACTCGAAGCTGTGGCTGTCATTGCTTCTACAGTCAGTGCATGTTCTTCACTGACGTCAGTCGGAGCTGTCCTGGCGCTATATAAGGCTGGCGGCAGTCCCGGGACAGACCCTGTGTTCCCCAAGGCGCCTTCAGCCCGCCCCGAGGGACAGAAACTGGAGCTCCGTCTTGGACCGTACAAACACTCGCTGAAAACCTGTGAGTGGCTCAGAGCATCCGCCCAGCCTCCCCCAACATCAAGACTCCGCTCAGCTCAGCCACCGCGCTCCTCTGGGAGGGAGGCTGGATGGAAGGGGTGGAACAGCACTGGCGCAGCGGCTGGGGCTGGAGGGCAGACTGCGGGCATTGGTCCCGCGGCCACAGGAGCCGCTGGGGGTCGTCGGGCTAGCGCGGGTAGGGGAGCGGCCCCCTGTACCTGCCGGGCCAGTGTGGGGTGGGGAGCGGCCCCCTTCGGCTGCCCCAGGCGCATCTCACCCTGCACTGCCCCTGTGTGTCCAGGGCCGGCGGCACCATGAGGCAGGCGGGACGCGCGGCGCTGCTGGCCGCGCTGCTGCTCCTAGTACATCTGCGCCCTGGGAGCAGCCAGAGGAGCCCCGAGGCGGCCGGGGTCCAGGCTCCAAGTCTGCGCTGGAGCCCCGGGGCGCGGAACCAGGGCGGCGGGGCCCACGCGCTCCTCTTGCTGCTAGCGGAGCGCTTCCCGCGCCGCGCGGGGCCCGGGACGACAGGGGAGCGGCCGCGGCGGGACAACCCTCCTCTGTCCATTGACCTCACCTTTCACCTGCTGCGGACCCTACTGGAGCTGGCGCGGACGCAGAGCCAGCGGGAGCGCGCCGAGCAGAACCGCATCATATTGGACTCGGTGGGCAAGTGATGGGCCTGATTTGGGGCCGCGAAAACTTTGACCCCTTTCCCCCACCTCAGGGTTGGGACGCGGGGCAGAGCCACCAGGGCATTCTCTGCGTGGCTATTTTTTAATAAAAGTGCTGAAGAGCTGTTGGCTTCTGTCGTGGGGGTGCGGCAGTTACAGCAGGGTGGGAACCCGTGGGAAGGTGGGGCCCCTAGCCAGGGGGAGGGGAACAAGATGCGAGGGGGGTGGGGGAGGTTCCGGGAGAGCGGCTTTCAGCCAGGTGCCTGTGGACCCCAGGGCTCCCCAAATCCCCAGGACCTCAGAGATCCTGGCACCACTGCCTTGCCCTCAATCCTCTTCCAAGTGTGCTGGGCTCACCAGTTCCCTCCTGGCATCACGGAGGTGCCCAATAGGGGTTCATTTGGCTTCCACCCCCCAAACGGTCTCAGGTTCCAGGAAGGGCAGGATGGTGGCGGGTCGCCTCCAAAGCCGAGAGTGAGGGATTGGGCAGCGAAAGGAGATGCGGGTCTGGGAGCTTGAGTTCTTTATTAAGATCCTCCCGGGGCAGGCACTGAGCTGGGATACTCCGCAGTCTCTGCGCAGATCCTCCCCGACCCTAGCGCAGGCTCTCGAGCAGAGTCGGGTAGGCGCAGACCTGTGCCCGGGAAAGAAGGATCAGTGAGCGGGTGCTGAGAAGGCGCCGCTCACTCCGTCCCCTGCCACGTGGGTTTCTCCTCTACTCAGCCGACCGTGCCTGCCCTCCCAGTAACCCGGAGGTACGGTGGGGGTGGAGGAAAGTGTACTTTTCCGCCCTGGGGGATGTGCCTTTGTGGCTCCGGGGTGGGGTGGCACCGAGGACTGGGGGACAGTAACCGGGGGAGGGGACATGAGTGCACCAGCCAAGCCCCATTTCAAGTTCCTCAGGCCACTCTCACCTTAAGGCCCATCCGGCCGCTCTTCCTCCGGCCCCGCAGTGCCCTCGTCTCCGTCCGGGGCCACTTCCTCATCTTCTTCCTCCCCGGAAGCGCCTGGGCCCAAGGAAGGCCTGGTGAGGTGGAGTCCCTGACTTTCCTGCCATTTTGCCCTCCTTGCCCCCATATGGAGGATCGGAACCCCAGTCCCGGTGGCCCTTGGCCGCCTCCCTCACCCGGCTGGAAGTCGATGGTCCGCAGCATTTCGGCCACGTGCTCCACGCTCACGGTGAATTGCTCCATGCTCTCATAGCCTGGCTCTGGCCGCCCTGTCAGCTCCACCTTCGACATAGCCCCGACCCTGTGGCGACCACACTGGGCTCAACTGGCAATGCCCCAGTACCCTCAAGCCCCTCCTCCAGCCAGTGGAGCAGCGCAGCCCCTCCTTTCCCTTCCCGCTGTGCCTACTCACTTATTGATCAGCTCCTTGGCCTGCTGCAGGGGAGAAAAGGAGGGTGAGAGTAAGCACTGGGCCAGCCCGGGCAAAGTCCCATTTCTTTCTCACCACAGTCCTGCAGGGTAGGTGGGAAGGCACATCCCATTTCGTTAAGGAGAAAACGAACTCAGAGGGGGTGAACTGCCCAAGGTGGTAGGGGCAAGCAGGTCCAAGAGACAAGACTTGAACCTGGATGTCCAGGTGCCAAGGCCCTGACTCCAGCCACTCTGCAGCACTGCCACCCTCCCCTAGAGCCCACCTGGAGGTAGAGCGCCATCTGTGGCTCTTCCATGGACTGTATGGCAGACTCCACCAGCTTAGAGGAGGCCTCCAGGTGATCTCCGTACTGACGGATGAGGCCACGAACACGCTGCAGCTTCTCCTCTTGCTCCCGGGCCAGTGCCTGCAGCAGCTCGCCCTTGCGCTCCTCCAACACTGCACACAGGCTCTCGAACCTCTGGTTTAACAACTGCTTCTGCCTCCGGCTATTGTCCTAAAAGATGGGGAGCAAGGACAAGGGAAGGCGTGGCTGAGACCCTGTGGCTGGGAAATCCCAGGGTACTGGGCCTGCTCCCCACTTGATGGAGCTCACAGAGAACCAAGACAGAAAGTGACCGGTCTGCAGTGCCACTGTTAGTGGCCGAGCCAGAATCCAGCCCAGATCTCTTCCATAATAAAAACACAATGTTTTAAAGTAGCTTCACTGAGTGCTGTCTATATCCCTAGCCCTGGTTTTCACTTGCATTATTCCATTTAATTCTCAAAAAGAGCCCATGAGGTAGCTGGTATACCATTATCATCATCACTGTTTTATGAGGTTAAACAAAACCAAAGCACAGAGAAATTAAATAACTGGATTAAAGTTTTGAAGCAAAGCTGGAATGCACACCCAGCAGCCTGGCTAAAGCCCATCCCACCACTCCCAGGACCCCAGAAACTTTCAGACCAGTTTGGCCACAGCAGTTCTCTTGGAAGGAAGCCCGGGGTCCACAGGGCAGCCAGTTGCTGTTCCTCCCTCCCTCCAGCCCAGGCTCACCTCGATGGTCTGGCACACTTCCTCCATCTGCGTGATCACTGCTTGCACACGGTCATTGCCTGCCACCAGCATCGCGATGCCATCGCTGAGCTCACTCTGACACACAAACAGGTCAGCACTCAGAGCTGCGACCTGGCCTAAGAGCTACACCCCTTACCCCAGCCAGGGTTGCCTAGAAGAGGGCTGTCCCCTTCACTCCATCCCCCATGAGGGCATCTACAGAGATCTAGAAGACTTGAACTATCAAGAGGTACAGAAGCACATTCTAGGGATTCTGGAAGGAGGTGGAGAGAAGAAGCCCTCCATCACTAAGTGGGAAGGAACAGACAGTCTCCATCCACCAGATGCCAGGCACAGGGCTAGAAGCTTTATCTGTAGATTAATTTTTTGCATCAATTCTGAGAAATTCTTGACGATTATCCATTTGCATAATATTGCCTCTTCTCCATTCTCTTTATCCTCTCATTCTGGGAATCTGATTCTCACGCTCAATCTTCTCCTCTCCCATAGATACACATTCTGTTTTGTTTTATTTTGTTTTTCAGTCCTCTCATGCTGTTCACTAGTTCTGTTTTCAGACAAAGCTGTCATTTAATTCATCCAGGTTTTTTTGTTTGTTTTTTTTTTGAGATGGAGTTTTGCTCTTGTTGTCCAGGCTGGAGTGTAATGGCGTGATCTCGGTTCACTACAACCTCCGCCTCCTGGGTTCAAGCGATTCTCCTGCCTCAGCCTCCCAAGTAGCTGGGATTACAGGCATGTGCCACCATGCCCGGCTAATTTTGTATTTTTTAGTAGAGATGGGGTCTCTCCATGTTGGTCAGGCTCTTGAACTCCTGACCTCAGGTGATCTACCCGCCTCGGCTTCCCAAAGTGCTGGGATTACAGGCATGAGCCACCTTGCCTGGCCTGATTTTTTTTTTTTTTTTTGAGACGGAGTTTCACTCATGTTACCCAGGCTGGAGTGCAATGGCGCGATCTCGGCTCACCGCAACCTCCGCCTCCTGGGTTCAGGCAATTTTCCTGCCTCAGCCTCCTGAGTAGCTGGGATTACAGGCACGCACCACCATGCCCAGCTAATGTTTTGTATTTTTAGTAGAGACGGGGTTTCACCATGGATGGTCTCCATCTCTTGACCTCGTGATCCACCCGCCTCGGCCTCCCAAAGTGCTAGGATTACAGGCTTGAGCCACTGCGCCCGGCCTTTTTTTTTTTTTTTTAAGAGACAGTCTCACTCTGTCACTCAGGCTGGAGTGCAGTGGTATGATCGTTGTTCACTGCATCTCAAACTTCTGCCCTCAGGTGATCCTCCCACCTTGGCCTCCTGAGTAGGTGAGACTACAGGCACATGCCACCACTCCCAACTAATTAAAACAAAAAAACTTTTTTTAGAGATGGTGGTCTCACTATATTTCCCAGGCTGGTCTTGAACTCCTGGCCTTATCCTCCTGCCTCAGCCTCCCTCGTCACTGGATTTACAGGTTCCAGGCACCATACTGAGCCATCTGTTGAATGATTTATTTTATTTATTTATATACATATTTTGAAACAAGGTCTCACTCTGTCACCCAGGCTGGAGTGCAGTGGCTTGATCTCAGCTCACTGCAGCCTCAAACACCCGGGCTCAGGTGATCCTCCCACTGCAGTCTCCCAGGTAGCTGGGACTACAGGCACATGCCACTATGTCCAGAAAATTTTTTATATTTTCTTGTAGACAGGTTTCAACACGTTGCCCAGGCTGGTCTCAAACTCCTGGGCTCAAGTGATCCTCCCACCTCAGCCTCCCAAAGTGTCAGGATCGCCAGTGTAAGCCACCACATGGCTACACGGTTGTTTTTTGATATTCTATTATTGTTTAGTTTTTAACATTTTTTCATCTTTTTCTAAAAAGCATTTGATTCATAATGATTTCCAATTCTTTCATAATTCCAATATCTCAGTTCCCTAGCAGGGAGGGGGGGAAGGTCCTAAATCTGTAATTTTTGTTTCTGCTGATTTCACTCATGGAGTACATTTCTCTGTGCACCTTCAATTGTGAGCTAATATTTTGTTGATATTAATCTAAGGAAAACCTAAGGGCCTAAACTGAGCATATTTTCCGCCAGGCAGAATTTGCATTTGCCTCTGTTGAAAGCCAGGTGGCACAATTTACTGCTTTTGCTCCTGGTATCCATTTCACCTAGGGTCTTGGGAATCTTAGAGGCAGGTCCCCTCCTTTCAGGGGTTTGGAGGAGTATTCTGGTTTCTCTAGCTCAGTGACACTGCCAGCACTGGTCCTCTTGGAAATGCTGCCTTTTCTGTGCTTGCCATTCAGTCTTTTCTCCTTGCCCCTTCCTACCTCCACTGACCGCGTTTGCTTCTATGTGCTAGCAATTTAATTGGAAAATTCTGTTTTATGCAGAATCTAGTTGTGTGATAGTGATAGGACCCTGCAAGTATCTCACCCACCATACTGAAGTCTCTGTTTTCATCGATTATCTAATTTTATCCTTACAGCTACTTCCAGAAGTAGGCATTTTCATCCTCATTTTACACATGAGGAAAGTGAGGGCCTCAAAGGTCAAGTAACATATCTAGGTCACATACTGAGTCAAACACAGAGCTGGGGCCTTCACCCCAATCTGCTTGACTTTTTTATTTTATTTTATTTTATTTTATTTTATTTTAGAGATGGAGTTTCAGTCTTTCTGCTCAGGCTGGAGTGCAATGGCGTGATCTTGGCTCACTGCAACCTCCGCCTTCCAGGTTCAGGTGATTCTGCTGCCTCAGCCTCCTGAGTAGCTGGGATTACAGGTGCCCGTCACCACGCCCAGCTAATTTTGTATTTTTAGTAGAGATGGGGTTTCACCATGTTGGCCAGGCTGGTCTAGAACTCCTGACCTCAGGTGATCTGCCCACCTTGGCTTCCCAAAGTGCTAGGATTACAGGTGTGAGCCACTGCTCCCAGCTTAATCTGCTTGACTTTAAAACTAACTAGGGCCGGGCGTGGTGGCTCAAGCCTGTAATCCCAGCACTTTGGGAGGCCGAGGCAGGTGGATCACAAGGTCAAGAGATCGAGACCATCCTGGTCAACATGGTGAAACCCCGTCTCTACTAAAAATACAAAAAATTAGCTGGGGATGGTGGCGTGTGCCTGTAGTCCCAGCTGC